TGTTGGATTTGTTGTTTTTATTTCTCAGGCAATTGTTTCATATCTAGATTCAAATTTCTGTGGCATCCTAGATGTATATTATGTCTTTAAATTATTTTCAAATATTTTGATAACATGTAAAGTAATTTTTGGTAATCATAATCAGCGAGCGTTCATTGGGAGGGATGACAGTTGTGAATGTTTTCATGAAAAAAATCATGTGTCGCGAGGATGGCAAAGATGGCAATTATAGTTCGCAAGCATGACAATTTTCTAATGAAAAATAGAACCACGGTGGAGTTACCATGCTCGCTAACCAAAATTGTCTCGTTCGGCTTATGGACACCTAGTAGCAGAAATCAAGTCAATGGTGAATGAAAGGGAGTTTGTTCCACAGAAAGTTAGTAGAGCTCAAAACAAGGTAGAAGATTGTATGGCAAGTTGTGGTCTTACCATGTCATGTACTACGATGTGGATGTGCAGGTGTCATATGAAAGATCGTGGATATCGCCTAGAGGGGGGGGGGTTGAATAGGCACTTTAAAATAATTACGGTTTAGGCTTGAACAAATGCAGAATTAAACTAGCATTTAATTTGTCAAGCACAAAACCTAAAACGACTAGGCTTACCTATGTGCACCAACAACTTATGCTAAGTAAGATAAACAACTAAGTGATGGCAAGATATATAACATGAAACAATAAGGCTACCACAAAATAAAGTGCATAAGTAAAGGGCTCGGGTAAGAGATAACCGAGGCACGTGGAGACGACGATATATCCCGAAGTTCACACCCTTGCGGATGTTAATCTCCGTTTGGAGCGATGTGGAGGCATAATGCTCCCCAAGAAGCCACTAGGGCCACCGTAATCTCCTCGCGCCCCCGCACAATGCAAGATGTTGTGATTCCACTAAGGGACCCTTGAGGGCGGTCACCAAACTCGTACAAATGGCAACCCTTGGGGCGGTTACCAAACCCGGACATTTTGGCAACCCTTGGGGGCGGTCACCGGTACCCATCAAATTGCTCGGGGCAATCTCCACAACCTAATTGGAGACCCTGACACTTCCCTGGAGCTTTACACCAGAATGATTGAGCTCTGACAACACCAACCGTATAGGGCACCAAGGCACCCAGGAGCAACAAGCTCTAGGGTGTACAAACACCCAATAGTAACAAGCTTCTCAACTTCACTTCCACGTATCACCGTGGAGAACTCAAAACGATGCACCAAATGCAATGGCAAGGGCACACGGAGTGCCCAAGTCCTTCTCTCCCAAATCCTTGTGCCCAAGTCCTTCTCTCCCAAATCTCACCAAAGCAACTAATGTTATGGAAGAAAATGAGAGGAAGAACGAAGAAGAGAACACACAGAACTCCAAGATCTAGATCCAAGGGGTTCCCCTCACATAGAGGAGAAAGTGATTGGTGGAAACGTAGACTTAGATCTCCTCTCTCTCCCCCCTCAAAACTAGTAAGAATCTATGGAGGGATTGAGAGATAGCAAGCTCGAAGAAGGTCAACAATGGGGGAAGAACACGAGCTAAAATGATAAGGTTCAATGGGGAAGAAGACCCCCTTTTATAGGTGAGAAAAAATCCAACTGTTATGTGCTCAGCCCGCACACAAGCGGTACTACCGCTCCATGGAGCGATACTACCGCTCGGGCAGTAGTAACAGGAAAATAGAGCAACGACTAGGAACCTTGGGGCGGTAGTGTCACCGGAGCGATACTACCGCTCATCCCAGTGGTACTACCGCAGGAGAAGCAGATCATAGGAGCAGAGGAGGCATGGCAGAGCAAAGCACGACGGCAATGCCCTAGCAGCGGTACTACAGTCTGGTCGGGACGGTACTACCGCACCTTACTGCCGCCCAACTATCTCTGAAGCTGACACGAAAAATAGGACCCCCAGAACAAGCAGAAGTGTGCGCGGTACTGGAACAACAGAAGTACCGCTTACAAGCGGTACTACTGCCGGGCAAGGATCGGTACTGCCGCTTACAAGCGGTACTACCACTGTCCAGAGCGATACTACTGCAGGGGTGCAACAAGCAAGCCCCTGAGCAAAATAGATGCAACAAGAAAACCAGAACTGCCATAACTTCTGCATATGAGCTCCGAAATGAGTAAACTCAAGCTTGTTGGATAGATGACGCCAAACACTATCCAACAGCGAGTGAAACCTCTATCGGTGAAGAACCGACAAAAACTCCAACATAAAAAACATCATAGAAGATGCATATGTGAACTCCGTTTTCGATGAACTCGAGCTTGTCATGAAGATGACCAAAAGCTCTAAAACTCACACAGAGAAAAACCAAACAAGAACCAAGGAAGATGATGCAAAGATGCAATGGTTTGAGCTCTCTATGAACGATACAAACAAGCTACTTACTTGAGAGCCCTCCTTGATAGTATGGCAATCGATCCTATAACCCGGTCTCCCAACTATCACCTTGAGACCGGTAAAATAGAAATCTTATCAAGGGCAAACCTTTGCCTCACACATAATCCACTTGAGCTTGATGATGACCACATTGACTTCCTCAAGTTGGACCACATTTCTTGACTGAGTTGGCTCGATGAAGACTAGTTGACTGCTCCCCGTACTTCACTATGGGTGAGCTACTCTTCGGCACATCTTCGCAAGTCCATTGTCACCACAATGGACGGCAAGCTTCAAGCACGATCTCTTTCTGATGCTCCAGTTGAACTTGCACACCGCAACCTTGATGATGATCACCACTTGATGTCATCCTCCATGGGTTATATGATATCTTCCTTTTGATGCACGACCATTGAAACATACCTAACCCCACAAACAACTCTCACATAGACCATGGTTAGTACACAAAATGTAATGGACAATGCTTACTATACAATGGGATCACTTGATCCCCCTTGGTACATCTTGTACACTTTGTGTATTGATCGACTTGATTCACTCCTTGACTTAGTCTTGATTAACCTTGTATCATGTCTTCTCATTGACCAAACTTTGGATAATTCCTTGAATAGCATCTGGTCAACCCATAAATTCCTTGAAACCAACACATGGACTTCAATAAATGTCTATGGACAAATCCTTCAAATATAACTCAAGGCAACCATTAGTCCATAGAGAATGTCATCAATTACCAAAAACACACATGGGGGCACCACATGTTCTTTCATCCTCCATGTTGTGAGGACTTATTGCCTCTCGATTGTAACCCTGTAAGTTTGGAATAAAACTCCCATATGATTTCGCAAAAAAAAACACCATTCACAAATATATCTGGCCAAATTGGCCGTGCCTACCAGGGCGGGCTGCGAGCAGGCGCGGCACGACACGGGCTAAACGGGCCGGGTCCGGCATGCGACACGCCCTGGGTCGCGCTTGGGCTGCTAGTCTGAGCACGCGGGCTGACACGACACAGTCTTTTTTTTATATATCTCTATATGACCCTACAAATAAAAATAGGCTAAAACGCCCAATGCACAAAATAGTAGGCAAACTAGTGGACCTGGCGTGCCGGTGGACCGACCCAATTAGCAGCTGGGTCGTGCCTGAGCTGCAGGCTGCAGCACGCGGGCCGGCATGGCACAGCCCGTATGATAATCGTGCCTCGGTGGACTGGACCGTGCCAGACACGATTAGGATGGGCCATGTCATGCCGGGCCGGGCTGTGCCAGACACGGTTAGGATGGGCCATGTCGTGCTGGGCAGGGCCGGCCCGTTTGGCCAGCTATGTTCACAAATACCATTCCTTCCCGGGTAAACGTTCGCTGGTCACCGGTGAAAGGGCTACACCATAACTACGGGTGCACCGCCTACGTTCGCGGGGAACGTGCTACCTTCTTCGCCGGCTTGCTCAACTTTCCCGCCAAAATGTTAGAATCCCTCTCCACAGGCCCACACTAGAAAAAGAAAGAAAATCTGAAGCCCTCACACAGATCTACCGCTCCAACCAAATTCCCCACCCCTCCTCCTCCTCCGCCGCCCCCCACCCATGTCGGCCATCGCCGGCGAGCCCCACCGCGTAGTCCTCCTCGTCGATCTCA